AACACATTGGCACACTCGTCAGTCTTGTTTGTATGCGTGTGAGAGATGCTTGTTACATCCAGCCGTCCTTTTTCCCAAAGTCTCCATGAGCGGAGCCAGCGCTCGGAGAACTCTGACATCGATGACTCACAGCCACTGACCTTTTTCATGTGGTTCCCTGAATAACGACAGTTTTGGCATTTCTTGTTCTATAGTGAGAAATAGAGGTTCTTTGAGTGGAATGGGAGTCCTTCACACAGTATGGGAGAGCACACGGGGGCAAGATGAAGCTGTGAATGGAATGTCCTTCTTTTCTACTTCCGAACTTTAGACAACAAAGCGGAGTTTTAGTGCTCCAGTCCCCCAGTTCCTCCCTTTAAAGGTTTTTGGAAGCAACCAATGCAGCCCTTCCAGAGGATTTCAGGCTCATTAGGGGTTTCAAGCATGCTGCTTGAGTCAGACCCTGGTGTGCTCTTAAACTTGCCCATAAAATGCTGTCTTCGCCCGCTTCTTTGTAAGTAATAGGCCTTTTTTCTCACCAAAGGTGGTCAATGCAAATTCATTTACCCTACCATTTCAGCAATTCTAAACCTCTACTATTTTTTGCATGGACGAACCAGAGGAGATGAGCGTCTTTATCCTCTTTGTATAAATGAAACCCCTCTGCCAATACTCGATACAATAAGACGATTGTCTGCGAACCTCAACCAGAGCTGATCCAGCTATTGGGCGAACCTCCATCAACCCAAACTTTGCAGAGCCATCGGCAGCCAGTGACATTTTGCAGTGGAAACTTGCAGTGGGTGTTGGCCTCATCAGCGCAGAGACTCGCTGACTGTTGATGATTGCAAAACAGATGTTCCAATAAGCAAAAAACCTCTCTGGTCGTACCAAGTTCAACTCCGAGATAGTGGGTAGACACAGGAGCTTCTGTTCAAACTTAAACATACACATTCTGTGGAAATGCACGACAGCCCAGATAGCTTGTGTTTAACCCAACCTGTCATGTGTGTTTAGGAAAAGCCGACATTAAGCGGAGATTCCAGGGAGGCAGCTAGGTCTGGATTCTTTAAAGCAGAACAGGATCATAAAAGTTGTTTTTCACCAACATGTTGAAGAACTGAGAATCCGATTCGTGTCGTGTTCTCAGGTTGAGTTGAAAGCTTAGGAAATGCCTTCGTACACAGTTAAAGACAAGACACCCCATTGCACAGGATGCTGATCAGGGGAGGCAGGAAGGTACCACTGCTGGAGGACCGGAGGCGAGTGTTGCTCAGGAAGGCAGCGGGTACTTGTGTTTTTGTTCTTCTCAACATCCCATCCATGGAAATTCCCCCCCTGTCCATATTTTTGGTTTACGGCTGTTATTTTTGAGTCACAACTATTCAATTACTGGCAATGGGCTGATGTTCTTTCTTGGCTCAACTCCACATTTCTGATAAAAATCTCTGTGACAGGACCTGACACCTCTGCTTAAAGGAGGATTTGATAATGTTAGCCCCAAGGTGCAGACTTTTACCAGATTAATTGTATTACCTAATCTAATTTTAATTTTGCAAGTTAAATTAGCTACTTTATGGGCAATTTAATGGGTAACTTTCTTCTCATTTTGCATGAGAAGAGGGAAAATGTTGGGTTGTATGCCTAACAATTCACCAAATGTTTATTTTAATGGTAAAGATCATTAACGGTGAGACTAAATATAAGATGAGCACATACTAACTTTAGTTTACCTGTGATTCTAATCACAATAACAAATCTGGTGTTACACACACACAGTTTACTTTTTTATTAAGTAAAAAAAAAGTCTTTGGTTTCTGGCTGAGCCAGGCTGTTTGTTGTTAGATAAAGTCTCATTAACATCTTGATGAAATCCTTGTTACTTCGTTGTTCATTTTCTTCGTTCATTTTTCTCTCACTTCTACTCATTTATTTGCACTGCTTGCTCATTTGCTAATGTCAGCACCTTCTACCCATTCCCCTTTTTCTTCTTTTGGCCCCAGAAGAAATTGTAAGTGTGACTCATACATCAATGTGTGTGAGATACAAAGTGGTATTAGGAAAAGATGAAGTACTACGTCTGAGTGATTATTGTAATTTTTTAATGGATTTCTTTTTTCTTTCTTAATTCTTCCTACTACAGGGTCTTTCCACATTCAACTTGTCATCTTCTGATCCACATATTATAGTTCTATAATGCTGTGTCTTTCACTAAGAGGGAGGCTGTCTTTCTGCTAGTCCTCCTCAAATTAGCATAAAAGCCTCACTTTGGTGCCAACCACATTTCAAAAACCACTGACTGGCAGAGAGGAGAAACACTTTTGGCAAATATAGGTCTGCAGAATTCATTTAACCGCAAACAGTAGCATTCCAGTATACAAGAAAAATACCCTGCTGCCAAAAGTTGAATGGATAATTACAACTGGGCTGCTATTGTGGGCCAAAGTTACGAGTGTCTGTATAAAGGCCATTTCTCAGGCTCCTCGAAGACTCTGCCCTCTCCCAAAGGATGTGCTGGGCCTGTATATGAGTGTTCCTAATGGCATCATGTTGAAAACCCTCCCAGTGGCTCTGTTACATCTTTCTTATTTAGTCTCTCCTCCCAGTGCATTAGCTGCCTTGCCGGAGCTGTTCACAGTAGGCTTTGCCGTGGCTTAGCGTGTTTTCTTGAAAGGCTTCGCTGTGCTTGCAAGAGTACAATTGCATGCAGAAATGGGCTGCAACGGATCACCGTTCAGTTTCCTAATCTCAGCGCCAGTGGCGGTGCAGACAGCGCGCTGACATGAGGCCGAGCTGGGTGGAAACAGCTGGAAATGTCTGTGGATTTCAGCACAGTGTCAAATGTTAGCATGAGCTCCAGATCGAGGGCCTGAAACAGGTCAGTCAGTCATTGCACAGCTAATGCAATTCCTGACAAGATGAAATATGGACTGATGCGTTCTCAGGTGACTGAATGCGCTCATTCGAACAGTATGCTCCCATAACACGGTTTGTGTACATGCATGTTGAAGTATTTACTGCTGTCCTGCAGACACACCAGTGCAAAGTTGTTCCAGGTGGGGGTCTTTGTATTTGTGTGTGTTAACGAACGGCCAGAGTGGAAAAAGGAGGAGAAAAAAAAAGGAAAAGTGTGAAGAAAACTCCCAAACGTAGTAACCTCCGGCATTGTGTCGGTGACCATGTGCTTCAGGGGCCACACACACGTGCGTGTGAGAGCTTGTTCAGCCCAGGAGGAACACAAAAACCACAGAGAAATGAATGTTTCAGGTCGGTTTCGCACTGGCAGCAAGGTGTGAATGGATGTTTTTTAGCCACACACCACCAGACCAAACGTTTTAGTAACTGCTCACAGACATGAATATTCATGACTGTGAAAACAGGTTCTGTTTAAAATCCACAAAGGGTGAGTCGCAGCCCACAAGAACAATTACGCGCTTGTACTTGTCTCCCATTTTCCCATTTTACAGCAGACGATTACAGCAAAATATCGCTGGGACAAAGCTGTCATAATCAGCCCTGCTCGTTACTAAGTCCGCGTGTTTGCAGAGGGCGTGATTATTGTCAGCGTCTCACTGGAATAATAGAAGTATTTGGACGAGATGCATCACAAAGGAATCCAGGCCTTTTTCCGATCCCACTTGAATTCTTACATCCACTTATATCCATTCATCCCTTCCCACATTCTTTTTGTTTGTGTCCCCATCGCGCACACACGCACCATAACACCAACAGTATTAATAGTTTCCATGCTGAATCATCCGGCTGTGACTGAACACAGGCCAATGCTTAGTTCCCAGATTGTGTCACTGCAGCCAAATGTATAATTTCGAAAAACAACCCCGTTGAGTTTTAATGTCCAACAGTGGACTGCGGTGAACTTAATCTGTTGGATAACTCTTGTGTGAATTTAATTCTTCTTTGTCTTTATCATAAACATTTGGAGAATCTGTGCAAAAATACATCTGTGGCCTTATGGAAGCTGACTTGATTTGACAATTTTTTTAAAAGTGATGGGAAACTTCTTTCCACATATATAAAAAGACATAAAGCAGATTCATTTGTAAAGTTCTTCTCTCCACTTTTAAAAAAATCTCCCTCTTTTTTATTTGTGTCTTTTGAAAAAAAAAGCTGAATGAATCTCTGATGACTTTGTTCCTGTGAACAAGGCTACATGCCGAATAAAATGTCATTCTGCATCAGATTGAAAGTGTTGACACCTTGATGTTGAATCTATTTACTTTTCTGAGTTACTGTGGAGACAGGACAAGAAAAGGGAGGAGTGAGGAGCAACTCAAGCCAGGACATTGTGTCAATTCAAAGAAGCTAAAAGGAAATTGATGCCTCCTGACCATCAAAATAAAGAGACATTTGCACATTTCTTTCTGTGGTGTTTCACATGTTTGTCTGCTTTTCCAGATTATTGTATTACCCCAGGGAGCTTGGTTTTACAAATGTGTCATTACATAAGTAAAAGACAATTACAGAAATTCTGTCCCAAGATTTTAAACTTAGATCTTGCAACTTTCCAGTGTAATACCTACATAAGTGATGAAAACGACGTGGAGACGGCACCTACATTTTGGTTTGGCTTCATTCTGGATGCTGATGGGATGATATTGATAGTGCATAAATCTTCATATAACATATTGCTGATTGACTCCTTGAATATAAGAATGGAATGCTTCAGACCTTTAACCCCAACATCAAAATTTGAATTATTATTTGACATTTAGTGTATTATTTTCATATTTGAATCCTTAACCGATCACAGTCATCCATGCTGCCAAGGGTGTTGTTTACTGCCACTAATGGAGTAGTTCCAGGAAACCGGTAGACGGCACACAGAATGAGTTAAACAAATTGTGTGATCTCGCAATAAGCATATACATTAAGTTTCTCCAGAGAAATGTTGTGGTCTAGAGTCAGGTATTTTCTGCGTTTTATTCTCTCACGTTCCTTTGCGTGTGTCTTATTCTGAAAGCTTCCCCTGGAAGTCTTCGCGCACTTGCCTCTCTTCGTGCCCAGAGCGAGAGGGAAGCGCATTGGAGTCCAAACTTTACGCACACGGTCTGAAGTCTGGACTTCACTTTTGGTTTATCCCTCTTGGTCTCCTTTTGCCTAAGGACTGATCATGCTCAGCGGGGAATGAAGATAACAGGATAAATGGAAAGTCTGACTGGAGGCAACTCGTAAATTCTGCCTCTGCCAATGATTTAAGGACAGGGAATGCGCTCCTTCGGGCTGCGGAGAATATATGCTTGACTTTACGCCAAAAACTTTGTGATATATTTTGCCTCCGTGGAAGTTATTCATAACCATTGTGATGTCTACAACCATGCTGACATGGATTATTATGTGTTTGCTCCTGCGGCCATTGGCTTCTCAAAACGCCGCACCTGAGGGAGGTAAGGATCAAGAATCTAGATTAAACTATTTTTTTCTTCTTTTTCTGTGTGTGTGTGTTCTAAAATTAGGGTTATCATAAAAATACGTCATTAGTTAATGTTGGGTCTTTCTGTGAGGTAATAATAATATAACAGGTCTGGCTATGAGTTTTATTTTAATCTCAGTTTAATGCAGCGTATGTTTAAATGGATTGACTTAACACAATGAGATTCAGCGTCTTTTGGCATTAAAACGTTCTAATATTTCTTCATTAGTGTGAGGGAATATCCTAACTCGGGGTGGATCAGGGTGGGGTTGAAGCAGTGAATTGGCATGACTCCAGGAAAGAAATAATCTGTTGATGAAATCCCACAGCCTTAGGCAATTAGTCCCAAAATGGGGGGTATTCAGGGACCTGTCAGGCATGCTGTGTATGACTTCAGGTGCTTCTTATATCACATATAAAGGGTTACATTCCTAGATCTCTATCAGCTGATGAAATATCGGGGCTTAGAAGTTTCTCAAAAGAAGACAGTGCAGTCTCCACATCTTTTTTGGAATAGGTTTTACTCGGGCTTGAATTTATGAAAGTCATTTTTATCAGCAATGAGCTGTGAAATGAAAAAGCTGGTTAGTCACTTTTTTTTCTTTTCTGCAAATAAAAGTAGATCATTCTTGAAAGATGATTAAAATCTTATTTGAAAAGAAAACTTACACTGAGACAGCCCTCAGTGAGTTTTTAAGCTGCTCTTTAATACCTGCTATCAGTTATTATCCGTGGTTACGTATAATAAACAACTAATAAAATATGCGGTCAAGTGTTACAGTGGTGGCTTTATACACCGCAGTGAGACTCATGACCATGAGAGGCTAAACATAGTGGTAATGATACTGGAGGGTTTCTTAATGGGACTGGATGTTATATCTGTGTTAATAGTGAGTTAGATACTTTTCCATTTCCATTAATAGGGATCCGATGAGACAACTTAGCTAAAAGTAAATAAACTTAATAACTTACTTAACCCATACCCCCCAAAAAAGCGATGATGAGTTAATGCTTAATGATCAGTGGATTAAATATGGTTATGGTTGGAAAAACATTTCTATATTTAACTGGATGTTTGTCTAATTCGTGGTTTGTTGTGTTAAAATGAAAAAGCAAAACGTTTTGAATCTTACTTTAAGCTGCCTGTGATTATTTTTGGTAATCGTGTCTTCAGATCCAGCTTAAAGAAAATCCGCAATTTCCTGGTTTGAATTAGTTTTTTATGTGTTAAGTCCATGATCTGCTCTTGTTGCTATATAGGCTCTATAGGTTTTTTACTTTGTAGGGTTTTCTGGTATAACATCACTTAAACACTAATAGCTCAGCAGTACGTCTGTGAGATAACAGCATTAGCTTCATTATTCTCCAACAACGAAGTGGCTATCTGCAGTCAATGTCCGGTTTGCAGATAAATGCATAGCGTCACAAAGGTAGAGGCGGGGACAGTATTACAAAGCAGCCCTCCCATTTCAAAGTCCAAATAACCAGATAGAAGTTCGGAATTCTTCAAATGGAAAAGGAATGAGCATGGACATTGGCATGTTTGTGTACATGTTTGATTAATGTGCAAATGCTATGCAGTTTTTTAATTGTTTTTTTAAGCTTTCAGCAGCCCAAGAGGCACCCAATTAAAATGAGTGTTTTCAAAGGCTTTCAAAGTCTTTGTCTATGTGTGGATTTTTAATAATACAAAGACAGAGCAATCTAGTGGGAATTCTGGGTAATTTCCTATGATGTGTAACTCTTTCTCATTATCACACAGCCTTGGTCAGAGATTTAAACAGTGGGAGTTTCCTTTTAGATGAATGTATGATCTGAAGAGTTTGTGATGCCTCTCTTCCTGCTCTGTACATGGCAATCCAGCATTCCTCGTTGTCTCTCATTTGGAACAAGAGCCCCATTCCAGGCCTTTTGACGCCTTTTAATTTTCTACGTGCAACGTCCCTGCAACCCAGAACACACAGTTTCTCTCCCTTTCGCCTTCTATGTATGGCATTTGCTATGAAAAATGGAAAACTGAAGATGAAAAACAGATCTGCCCTTTGGCCCGGTGCCTAAACGCCTTTTATCCATCACCACCTAGGAAGTTATCTTATTGCCAGTTTCCTGCCGCTTGTTTTGATTTGTGCTTATCTGTCTTGTAATTGCCTGGACTGGCCTCTGAATTTCTACTTCTTTCATGCTGACAGCAGCCTCTTATGCGTTATAATTTTCATGTGCTCTGTTTTTCCAAGAAAGGGAAACGTAAAGTGGGAGGGTGGTGTGTGTAAGAAAAACCCAAGAAGAGACTTGTGGAAAGTGGAAAAAACTTGTGACTGTGAAAAGGAATTGTAGAGGAAGTTATGCGAGGGTTCTCAGGCCCTCATCGAAAGCCAAAAGTTTCTGCCTTCTTGATTTTGCTTCTTAATCCTTGTTTTGTTTTCTGTTTTTCCTCAACAGTGCTGAACTGCTGTGAGGGTGACATCCTCTTCTTAGTGGATTCCTCAGGGAGTGTGTCAACCTATGAACACACCCGCATGCTCTCCTTCCTCTCTGAACTCGTCCTCCCCTTCTCCCTGGGAGAGGAGCAGGTGAGGGTGGGGCTCCTGCAGGTGGGCTCTAAACCGCGCCTTGAGTTTGGCTTCGACAAACACAAAACTCAATCCAGCCTCCAGAGGGATTTGAAAAACATCCAACCTCTCAGGGGCGACACCAACACAGTGGAGGCCCTGAAACTGGCAAAGGAGTGGATTTTAAGGCCCGGAGCTGCGGGCGGAGCCCGGGAGGGGCTTCCCCGGGTGCTGGTGTGGCTGACCGATGGGATCGACCCCGGCGACGTGATCGGACCAATGGCCGATCTCCGGGATGAGGGCGTGGCCGTCCTGCTGGTCTCCACCGGGCACAGTAACTATCTGGTTTTGAGGCAGGTGGTGTCCGAACCCGTGGACGAACACCTGCATTTTGTGGACATTGACGATATGGGCATCATCACAGAGGACCTGCGGAATGCCATCATCGGTAAGCATGATTTGAGCATAGACAGTGAATCATGAATGGAAAGAGTCATGTGACAGTGCTGGAAACCATGCTGCACTGCATGACGTGTTTGTGTGGATTTTGCCTGATCTGAACTGTCCCAGAGGAAACAAATAAACAGGAATAAACAGAGAAAGCAGAACAAATAGAATGAGGCAGCAGCTCTTAACAGATACACCAAAGGTTTGTGGGCACAAAATGGCTCCTGGCTTTAAATGTGAAAAAATGTCATGTTTTGAGAATAAGGAAAAAAATGAAGAGAGAAGCGGAAACATTTCTATAGGTAACTAATCTCATGAAAGTCATTGCAATTTTCTCTGGAAAATCAACATCTGAAAGAGTCGCTCCCTGCCGGCCTTTTGAAAAATCTCAAAGAGAACACACATTCACGCTGACTTTATTTTCCAGGGGCACACATAAAATACATTTTTAATTTGTTAATTCTATCGGGTTTTTTTCAATTATTGTGCTGGAATAGGATGACAGTGATAAGTTATTAATAAAAACTCCATATATAGATATAAGCTGAACATAACCTCCTTGTCTTTAGATTTGACAGGAATAAAGTAACTGGTGACTTAATTAGATTTTATTATGAATGATACATCTGATTATGATCTGTTTTCAAATTTGTTTATGTAACAGATTTTCAATCTATAAAACTATAACTGCAGAAAACTGTGACCTTTTTCTGCAGGATTTCTTCATCCTGCAGAATTTCTGTTTTCTTCTTTTGAAACGATTATCATTGTCATTGTGTGGTTTTCCTGCCAATATCTTGGCTCTTTCGGCTTTGGTACATCGTTGCCAGCTCTAATAAGGGAACAAGTAACACTTTTTGAAGAAAGAAAGAATAACTTTTTCACAACACTACAGGTCATCCCTCTAAGTGAAACTTTATGATATGTTTAATGCCATTATTGACATATTTCCAGATCTAAATATGTACTACTCTCTAAACCTGACTCTGTGTAATAATAATGTTTACCCACCAATGTTCAGGCTCAATATTGTAGGAAAAAAAGACTTTGAACTTTCATGATTTTATAGCTCAAATGAAAACGTTCCTCATTGTATTGGCAGAAACCTCCTTGATGAGCATTTAGTGTGTGCTTACCTTTGAGGAACATCATTTATTCAAACAGCTGAGAGCACGCTGTGGACCTGCCAGTAAGGCACAGGCAATACGCAATTGCGTGTCTCTGTGCTTCTCCGCACACATGCTCCTGAAGAGAGCGGGGTGGCATCCAAACAGGATGCCTGCACACTGAGAGTGCATGAGTAAGAGTAACTGTAATGAGATATCTTGATCTATAATTGGATTAATGATTCAACATCCCTTTCTGTATCTTCCAACACTATGTCAGATATGAAACTGTATATATTTATAAATATAGACAAGGGAGAATTCCCATTTCTTAAACTGGATTAGATAACCTCCATAATACCCACAAGAGACACTTAAGCATTTAGAAAGTACAGTCTACATCTGTAATGCATGATGCACAGTGTAAATAGGGCTTGTGTACATCACAGACAAATGAATCGGTCCATGTTAAGTATCCAAAGATCTTATCACAGATATCAACAACTCGGTGGTATTAGATATTTTGTTGCCGGGGTCTTAGTGAGTTGGCTATTTCTAGCATTATGAATGCATTTCGAGAGCCAAGTACGTCTGTCTATATGGGTGGCCGTCTGAAGACGAGATAAATATAGCAGCCTGTTTTTTTTGCTGTCTTCCATGTCCCAATGATCGGTCTGTGTATTCGTAAACTTCTATGGTCCTTTATGAGATACTGACACCGTTTTTTCTTGTCTCTGTCTACACAGAGATTATCAGAGCTCAGCGTATCCATGTCCGAGACATTTCCACCAACTCCGCCACCCTCCAGTGGCGACCCGTTCTCTCGGGTTTGACGGGGTTCTACGACATCCGCTTCGGTCAGGCTCTGACTGACGGGGCGGGAGGTGGGGGTGCGGGTGGAGGAGGTGGCGGGACCAGTCCGAGCACAGGTGGAAGTTCATACCAGAGACTGACTCAGCCTGCGGACGCCAACAGTATCAGGCTGACGGGCTTGAAGCCTGAAACCACCTACTCGGCCACACTGACCCCGGAGTCCAACGAACAAAGTTTTAACACGCTCTCTGTCAGCTTTACAACAAAGCCAGGTTGGGATTCATTCTGCTTACTGATCCTGTCAGTGAAGCACATCATTATACACCTGCTTAGCTTAGCTTCCCAAAAGACCTGGTTAATGAGCAAAACCTCTTTTTCTAACATTGTTTTTAGGTGCATTCTTTGAATTCTTCATAATAATATTCAAGTATAACATATTATACGACAATGCTCAAGCTGTTTCTCGCAATTATCTGAAATTATATTGTATTCAATGCGTTTTGGAAACAGTTTCCTCTGTACTTTTTTTTTATAGTTGTTGAACTGAGCACATTACAATCCAACAGAATATAATGTTAGGATTTTTCTTATTTCTGTCAGAGGTTGTGAGCCCATCTACGGTCTCGGTCTCTGAGTCTGGACCAAACAGCGTCCGAGTGAGCTGGGGTCCTCTTCAGCCAGAGGCAGTCACTCGTTACATCATTGAGTACTCTGCCCTGCCAAGGGGCCGGCTCCACACACTCACCGTGGACCGGAGTCAAAACTCGACTCTGCTCCGAAACCTTCAGCCAGACACCACATACCTGGTCACAGTCAGTGCTCGCTACGCCTCGGGGAAGGAGAAGGCTATGTCGGTCAAAGCGTGCACCCAAGAAGGTGAGCTATATAAAGAAGATCCAGTCACACAAGGTCTGATTTCTGCACACTAATCATAACATATCACAGCTATTTATGTTCCTAAATCTTAAATTTGAGTTTATTAGCCGCAACTTAAATCTAGGGCAGTTCTGACACTTCACTGGAGCCAATCAAAGAGTCACTTTACGGCCTTTTCATTCAAGCTCTCTTTTCTGTTCCTTTTCTGTTTTGATGTATGCACTGATTAACCTCTCTGGCGTTTTTCCATCTCCAGTGACCCCAGCCCTGGCAGACCTCCAGCTGACCACAGTGGGAAGTGACTCAGTGCAGGTGGACTGGAAGGCGGCTGTGGATGGGCTGAAGGGGTACTGGCTCACCTGGGAGGGACAACAAAGCTCCGTCCCCGGCCAAAGCTCCTCCCTCTACTTGCCACCTGACTCTCTGTCGACACGGCTCACACACCTCCCCCCTTCTGCTCGGGTGTGTGTTTCGCCCATTTACCGGACGGCACGGGGAGACGGCCTATGCTGCACTGCACAGTTTCACTCAGGTTAGTGTCCACCCTGAAGGCCTGACTTACAGAGTTTATGTGGGTAAACGCTAAGTGAATTATCCAGACACAAGCACAGTGATGTGGATAAAAACAACCCTTATGTACACCTAAATGAAATACAATGGACCAAATAAATGCTCTAAACTGATACCAGTTGTTTCTCTTTCACATGTGTTAACCTTTTGCTTTTTAAAAAAACAAACATTTTATTTGACCTTTTGCAAGGTGCTCTACTTGCCCAACAAACCCAACAAAAATAGTTATAAAAGTCTCAGCTGTTATTTCTTCTCCCTCTTCTCCTCAGATGCACAACCATATGGCTTCCAGTCTTAGCCACCCGAACTGCAGATGCACCTTACCAAACATGGAGGGCGGAGAATGAGAATGCTGACTTCCCTCTGAAATTCTTTAGCGTGCCTCCCCCCCCTTCTGCGGACACGATCCAGAAGAGATGTGTGGTTTGGCTCAGTGAGCCCTCATGTGGAAGCCATAGACACTTTTGAATTAAGTGGGACAATGTGGCCACATGTTGACTGCTACAAACTGCGATGCAGAGGATTACCTGCTTTACTATGTTTACTGCTTCATCAGGTCTCCACCTGTAATTAATGTCAGACGCTTTGCTGTAAAAGAAAAGGGCTAAAGATTGAAATATTTCTTAAATCTGTTTTGTAGACTTGGAAAGGGGCATGCTGGGAATGTTAATGCTTCGTGTGGCTTATTTTGGTGAAAAGCTTTGCACCATATGTGCACCATGTGCCCAAGGCAGCATTTCTGTCAAACTCTGCTAACACACGGAGAACATATGATATTTACGGTGTCCTTCTGACTTGTACTGCGTATTTCTGCCTCACCGCATGCTTCACAAAATACTCTGAATACTTATTTGTGCATACTAGACTGTGCAGCAAGGTAACTTTGAACTTTCCCGACCAACCATGAACCATCCATGTGCCAGTGTGTATATGATAGATGTGTGTAACTGATACTGACCTTGTACTGACTGATGTCTTGGCATAGATTCATCAGTCATATTGTTTTACCGAGAATCATATAAGTATGTTATGTTCTAGCTGACAGCACTTAGACATGAAGTTATAAAAGTTGTACCTTTTTACAGCCTGACTTTGCTGCCCCCTTCTGTAAAGATCCATACTGGCTTTTTGCTCCTGTGAGGCAGATTGTGAAAAAGTATTGTTTTATCTCTGTTGACTACTAAGACAAACTCTCAATAAAGTAATTGAAAAAGTTTGTTTCTATATATCTTTGTTAATTATTTTAGAATCTAGGGGGAACTACTTACTTGTACTCCATGTACATAAAAAAATACTGTTTTGAAAAGAGCTATTTTGCGTGGGTCGTTTGAGACATATTTAGTTAATTATTCTTTCATTGTTGCATATTTTGTATAAACATTTATTTAATGGATGATTGATTAAAAAAAATGTGATGCAAGGTTTCCCCCTGCAGGTCCATGAAAGCACCAACGGGTCAGCTGACAATGGGTGGCTGGTTTACAGCAGCTGTTTACTGTTAAGTTTGTGCATGATAACCTAGAGGGGATAAATTTGATGACTGTGACAGCTTTGACAGAAATATGCAAAGCTGGCACCTGCTTAATTGCGACATAAATGTCTACGCTTTTGTAAATCTGGCATGTGGACAGATATTTTTCAAGAAGTGAAAACATTTTAGCTACTTCTGATTATCCTCCAACAATGAGACTTGTGCTGACATATCCCACAATTGTGTTGTAGTATTTGAACGCATCACAAAAACATAACTCACACTTGCGTTGTGACTTTTCTTCGTAATAATTAGAGATTTCTAAGACCAAATATAGAAGTGTTTTTGCCGAAGAAACTTTTTTTTGTCTCGCCTAACGACTAATTTTCCTTAAGGTGTACCGAACAGTTGGAGACAGTAGGAGGCGTCCCCCTCTGTGTCCTGTTTCCCGTTAGCCCGTCAAGCTGCAGTATCCCAATCCTGACATTGCGGTGATGGAGGCTGTTACGGTTTAGCTCAATCTGCTCGGAAAGCAGAAACGGCAAGGTTTAAGTGCTCTGTTATGACAACGTGTCCATTTTGTCCAGGTAAGTACTAAAATAGCTTTGCCGGCTGATGCAGAAACGGTAGCGTCTTTGAAAAGTTGGCCTGTTAGCCTTTTCGGTGAGCTAATGTCAACGAAGAGGCTAAATAAGCGAGCGTTAGCTAATCTTGCTAGTAACGTCAGAACAACTACACCGTGGTCGGAAATAACTTCTAAGTTGCCACATAGCATGTGACTATACTAACTAAAACTCGTCTTTTGATTTAGAGCGAGAAGTAGCTGTGTAACACTTAAGCAAGCAAGCAGCTAACTTCAACTAATGTCATCAGAAAGATGAGGAAGATGTTTTGATACGAATGCTAGCTAACGCTAGCAGCAGATTCATTTTGAGATCCGTTTCCTGGTTGTGCCTTTGGTGCTTGTTTAAGACTAAATGCATGTATAAAATGTTTGTTATTGCTTGATATTGCTTAGAGAATAAATCACAAGTGTTATTTTACCTATGTTGTGTTGTTTCTACGTGCGAAAATGAGCCGAAGCGCACATAACAGCAACATAAACATCTGGGCTGTTGCTGTCCTTCGGCGATAGTGGATTCTTTCTGCAAATGGTCTTTAATTAGCGTAGTCTTCAGGCTGCATATGACAGTGAGCATACAGAGTCAAAATAATATTTTTTCGCATTTGATAGGGTGGTTTGGGGTCTTGCATTCTATTTGTATCAAGATTCAAGCCTCGCGAGATCGTACGAATACACAACTTTAACAAGTTGGACCGGTTTTCTCTTTTTAACAAGGTTTCCTCTTTTGAACTGCCTAAATAGTGAGTTGGTAGTTTTTGTTACACTTCTGTGTTAACGTGACTGCTGGACTTGTGCTTCTGCAGGTGGAGGCAGGAGGTGTGAGTAGAAAGCATTACACATCAGCAGCATGTACTCCGAGTGGCGCTCGCTGCAGTTGGTGGTGCAGAGTGACCAAGGCCACCTCAGTGTCCTGCACACCTATCCCACCAGTGTGGGTACAGAGGTGGCTAATGCTGTGGTCAAGCCTCTGGGCACAGCCGTAAGCCCCGTCGCCACAGAGAACATCCTTAAAACAGACAAAGAGGTAAGAAAGCGGTCCTTGCTTTGGATTCCACTTTTCAGTGATAAATAATTTAAAGTAATCTCTGCAGATCTGCTATTTCCATCACATAGACTTAGGAAATGCTTTCAGTTTGGGAAAAAAAAGTCTCCCAGGGATCTGGGATGGAGACACACAGAATAATATTATTTTCAAGATATTTTGTTTTTGGAAAGAGAATAATGAGGAGAGATTTTCTCATTATGCTTTTAAAAAACACAAGTCTGATCTAGTTCTAATAAGTCGCCCATTGAATCTTGCTGGCATAATTATATTTGCATGTCTACTTTCAGGTAGCTTGTCCTTTTCTTCTTTATATTTTGCACATTTAAGGCTTTCCTGCACACCTATCCTGTGAGTGATATTTAGGCAAAACATCAGCAAGACATTTCTGGGACAGTCGGGATCACTGCATCGGCCTCATTGCTTCCTTTATTGTCACGCTAAATCTTCGGGGTACTACAAGTTTGCATTTTCTCTGAAACAACTTCCGAAAGATCCTGTTTCTTTTTTGATTAATTCATCATCCATTATACATCCACCAGCTTTAAACAGACAGTTTTGGATTTTTGTGTGTATGTGCTTTTTTTTTTTAGAACAGACTACAAAAGAATTCTCCCTTTATTGTAGAGGAAAAAAAGGTGACACAATAATACTGGAACGTCCGTTAACACACTGTCGACTGTAGTGAGCAAATGTAACCCGGAGCTCACAGTAAGGAACCAACTTCGGGTAATGATGTGACAGCCTGTCAGGCAGAGATGTGAGGGGAACTATTTTGGGTTAAAATATTTCGATTTTATTTCTCAGGTTCACAGTTCACCTGAAGAGCTGCTACTACTTGAAACGAGTACACTCAGACTTACCTCTTACTACTGATCTACACCATCTTCCTGATGAATTTTAAGCCACATTTTGCAATCTTTGTAGGAAATAGTTAAAGGAGATTTTTTTTTCCTGACTGATTATGCAGCCCTCTGAATTCTGGACGGGATTAAGTTGTTATAGTTACCGAGTGTATCAACATTGGAATTGTGGTAATATGCAGGAAAACATCACATGGCTTCACTATCAGATTTTATGTCAGTGCAATGATGTTTACATAATATTGACAGAATGAGAGTCTGGTTCTCATTCATGCCCGACCTTTAACATTTCAGTCAGTTTTTGATTGGACAGGAGATGATGAGGAAGCATGTAAAAGATACAAAAGGTCAGCCATGTGGCTTTTATAGGTATTTTACTGCGGTCTTCTTCTTTAACCTAAACCTCTTGTTCCGTATTGTTTTCAGACACTTGATCAGACGTGCAAATATTCTCCTGGTGCTTCACTGGAGACACGTCTCTGCCAGAAAAATCGGTATTACAAAGAATTTGGAAGATAATATGTTTTAAGCAATCTGTGGTCCCCAGGTGAAGTGGACCATGGAGGTGCTGTGTTATGGCCTGACCCTCCCTCTAGAGGGGGACACTGTCAAACTGTGTGTGGATGTATACACAGACTGGATGATGGCTCTCGTGTCACCCAGAGACTCCATGCCACAGCCTGTGGTGAGGGAGCCCAACATGTACGTTCAGACCATTCTCAAACATCTCTACAACGTCTTCGTACCGAGGTATGTGAAAGAGGTTCTCAGATAATCCGTAATCCTTCAGGCCCAGTTTTACTGAACTAAACTCTTTTGGTGCCTTTTGTTCATAAATCTTTGACCGTTTGACCTGCTTTTTGCGTTTGTCTAGGGAAATAGATTTTTGCCAGCTTAACGAGTTGATTTTTACACCTGCAGTGCAGGCTGAGTTGGAGTAATGTTTTTAATGACAAGTGTACATTTATTTTTAAAAGTTTAATGACCACAGTGCAGAACTTATGCAGAATTAGTCTGTTGCTTCATCTCCTTTTCTCTATGTTTCTTGTTTACCTTCACATTTCAAACTTTTAACTGTGTGTGGCTCCAGGTCTGATCAGCATAGTCTGAACCACATCAGGCTGTGCCAGCAGGTGCTGACTGCTGTCCAGAAACTGGCCCGCGAGTCTGGCTCCATGGTGAGAGAAACCTGGGAGGTGCTGCTGCTTTTCCTGCTTCGGATCAATGACACGCTGCTTGCCCCGCCCACAGTCGGAGGTTAGTCCCACCCCATACTGTTTACCCACTTCCTCCGGTTGTTGGTTGTGATGGCTAGTGACCACCTTACTTTTCTTTCCTCTGCAGTGGGTGTTGCAGAAAAGTTGGCAGAGAAATTGATGTCTGTGCTGTTTGAGGTGTGGCTGCTGGCGTGCGCCCGCTGCTTTCCCACGCCGCCGTATTGGAAAACAGCCCGGGAAATGCTGGCTAACTGGAGACATCACCCCCCTGTTGTAGAGCAGTGGAGCAGAGTGGCCTGTGCTCTTACGTCCAGGTAAGAGGAGAGTCGGCTCCTCGTTTTACATTTAGTGCTCGTAGAGCTGAGAATGGAGTTTTGTTTTGTTCTTTATATTCTAGCATTCAATTTCTGTGTCTACTAAGAGAATAAACTAGACAAAATAAACATTTTTTTATTGCTCTGTTGACTATTGTGTACCAACTGTCGTAATCTGTCTATTCCACAGACTTTTGCGGTTTACCCATGGTCCATCCTTCCCACCTTTTAAAGTTCCTGATGATGATGCCAGTTTAATTCCTTTAGAGATGGACAGTGACTGTGTGGCACAGACGTGGTATCGGTTCCTTCACATGATCAGGTAAATACTCTAATAATGATGATCTCTGTCTATTTTCTAAAGTTATGTTTGCTCCTTCTTCCTATAGAAAAAGTATATTGTGGTATTCATTTTTTTATTAGCTTCCTTCTGTTTTTGATAAACAAATTAGTTTACATATTTCCCTCTTTGTTTTCCAGCAACCCAGTGGACCTGAGCAACCCTGCGATAGTGAGCACCACTCCAAAGTTTCAGGAGCAGTTTCTCAACTCAAGCGGGATCCCTCATGAAGTGGTGTTGCACCCGTGTTTGAAACAGCTTCCCCAGATCTTCTTCAGGGCGATGAGGGGCGTTAGCTGCCTTGTGGATGCGTTCTTGGGTAAGACGTTACTGAGCTGCATGACAGTAAGGACTAAAGAGTCTGGAAATTAGATGATAAAACATATTAAGATCATATGTGATGTCTTAAAATGGCACACAAAACAATGATCTGTTTTGTTTGCTGTTATGATACCTTTAATGCAAATGTAAAATTAGTTGAAAGTTCAATTTCATATTTCTTTTTAGAGATGAAGCTCTTACTTGAGGTGATAAAAGGTTAGAAAAAAAGAAAAACAAGAGCTGGGAATTTGAATTGACTACAAAACACTGAAATTATATGTAGCTCAATAACACATTTTTTTTCTTACAAGTTGTTATCCTGGCGTAACCTCTAAAACGTATCAAAGGAGGTTCAAATTCGATGTACCGTTTCCAGATATTTGAATAGCAACATGTTGGTATTTATTTTTCTCTCTACACTGTAGGTGTCTCTGTTGAAAAGAGAGACGTACGGGAGAGGGTGTTCACTTTTTGTCCAGTGCTGCTCTCTCATGGTACAAACACCAGCTGATACCTCGTATAATGAGACACTTTGGGCATATGCTTTTTATATGTGGTGGTAATAATAATAAAGGTCCAGTGTGTTCCATGTAGTGACATTTGCAGTCAGTTGCCACAAACCGAATGCCTGTGGTAGAGTTTGTGTGCGGTCTGACCTTTTGTGCCTCTGTAGCACTAAGGACGACCAAATGACGTGTTTAATGGATTCAATTTGCTCGTCCTAAGGCAACAGAAACAAAACACATTACAATTTTACTCAAACTGCACTTAAAAACCCGGCCCTGCGCCTTATGTAGCCTTTCTGAGCATAAATGGCTCTAAATGTTACACACTGGAACTTTATGAACTGTGGGTAGTCTTGCAAAATTAAATGTCCCACATACTCAACTAAACTGAACGATCATCAGCGTGGGGACTCCTGCAGGCATGAAGACTCAATCAACTCTGATGCTCATGAGAAATTTAGTTTGGTTCCTAACAAATGTCTTGCATGTCTGTGAATGAAAACTGTCTTTGATTAACTCACAGCCTCTGATGCCGAATCATTTTCTTTGGTCTTCATGTCATTTGTTGAAACTAATGAGACCCGGTGCCGCTGCTTTGTCGGACTAAGAGCTGGAAGTCTGTCCGCTAACTTTACCTTCTTGTCGACAGGTATATCGCGTCCCAGGGCCGACAGTGCTCCGCCCACCCCAGTAAACAGAATGAGCATGTCCCCGCCCCCCTCCATTGCCAACACTACACCCCCTCACAGCCGCAAACAGCGGCATGCTGGGGTCACCAAAACCACAAGCAAGAGTTCAACTGTAAGTCCAAGTGTCCCCGAGCCACTACGAGTTATTGGTGCGTAGATGGAAAAAACATCTCCTCATTAGTTGTGCCTCTACAAACCAAGCTGAACTGAACTAAGTGCCCTTCACCTCCTCATCCTTATTTAATGTAAAATCACATTCTGTTCATGGTCTGTATCTAATCCTGTAAAGCTCAACCAAATATCCCACCCCCCTGCAGAGCAGCGGCAGTCAGCCTACCAAAGCGTCCCAGCAGCAGCAACAGCAGCAGCAGCAGCAACCCTCGTCCTCCCCAACTCTGCTTTCGAGCCCCAACCAGAGCGGTTGGGAGTCTCGGCCGCTTCCGGCCCCGGCGCGGCCAAAGGTCAACAGCATCCTCAACCTGTTTGGCCAGTGGCTTTTCGACGCCGCCCTGGTCCACTGTAAGCTGCACAGCGGCCTGAGCCGGGACCCCAGCATGACCGGTAAGAGCTGCAGACGAGGCAAACAGAATCCCCATCGATGCATGGGCAAGTGGGTGTTGTGTTGCTGTTCATTACTGTGCGTTTCTTGTGGGTTTGTCCATCGTCGGTGTCCTTCTGTTTTGACTGTTCGTCGTTGGGATGTCGTTTCCTTTTCTTTCACCATCTCCTCTGAAACTTTGTCTTGCCTCTCTGTGTGTGGAGGGCTTGGTTAGAAGTGGCCTTGAAATAAGATTTGCATCTGATTGGAATCCACCTGCATCTAAACCTGGCTAAATTTACATAGATCAGTGATTCAATATTGTAAACATTTCTGGGTAAATCACCTCTACGGTAGTCGATGACAGCTCATGTAGAACTTTATATTTGATGGAAAATCTGGCTCAATATTGACCTCCATATATATTTCCCTCTTTGGTGTAGTGTCCTGCACGTGTCTACCATGTCTGATTGAATGTCAAAGAGTTGTAATGGGTCAAACGTCATGTATTGAGGAGAACAAAAACACAATTCATGCCTGATATGAATTGAACCCAAAATATTGGATCTGCTTTGATTTTGTCTCTCTCCACTATTTCTGTTATCTTGCAGCCTCTTTTATCCAAATTCTCCTTTCTTATAAATCTTGTAAGTAGGAACGGCAGCTTTTCTTTCCTCACTTGATTTGCGTTTCTTGACAAATCTTCCTGCTTTTCAGTTGAATTCCTCATGATCATTGCCATTATCACCATCGTTTTATGTTCCCACTCCTTCTCATGTATAAAAGTTCTCCAGCGTTCTTTCAGCGTTTCTTCAAAGGTGATGAAATGGATTTCACCAACTGACCATTTGTCTCAACCATAATGTTGCCAGTTTGTGACAATGCCAACCCATTTTAAGTTGTCCCGTTTTCTTTTGAGCCATGCTAATCCTTACTATTGCGTTTCCCCTTCAAGTTCAGCAATAATTTTAATTTTCTTTCTTTTGTAATTTCTTTGTGTTGTCAGTTTACTTGAGTTGTGGTTTTATTAGTTTTGTGCCTCAATGCATGAAGTGAATGATCTTGTACCTTGAGTGACCGTGACATAGTTGCAACATTGAGAAAGCTGACACAGGGACTTTGCTTTGTGGAACACACACTTTAGTGATAACGCACCACACTTTGTGACAGTGATAGGTGGAACTTGTATGGCGAACTCTTTGTGTCAGAGTTTCCTTTTGCTGAATGCTTTTTAAAGGATGCAAGTGTGTGTTTGCAGTCATTGAAGTCTCTCTCGTAATAGTGGTTAAATGTCTGCTTTTCTTTGCTTTTATGTCAGATTTCTACAGTTTTAACTTTTTATTGTGCACACATTGTAGATATGTCTACGTTTGCCCATTTTCGCATAGATAGAAATATACATATATATACATGCATGCAATGTGGTTTACGGCAGTACAATTCAGGGTCCTTTCATTCTCTCTTTCCTCCTGCTCCCAACAGCAATAGCCACTCAGGTTGGTTTGGAGCTAAGAAGAAAAGGTTCCCAAATGTCCACCGACTCCATGGTGCCCAACCCATTATTTGATATTAACGAGTTCCCAGAGAGCTACGAAGCAGGACGAGCTGAGGCCTGTGGGACTCTGTGTCGCATCTTCTGTAGCAAGAAAACTGGAGAGGAGATTCTCCCTGTCTACCTGTCCAGGTGTTGTTTCTCTCTTTTATCCACCCAGTTATGTGAACCCAACCATATGACTGTGAATCTTTTGTAATAGGATGGATAATAACGTATTGTCCCTCATCTCTACCTACAGGTTCTACATGGTTCTGATCCAGGGACTCCAAATATCAGATTTCATCTGCAGGCCAGTTCTGGCCTCTATCATTCTCAACTCTTCCTCTCTCTTCTGTACTGATTTGAAGGGCATCAATGTTGTCGTGCCCTATTTCATAGCTGCTCTGGAGACTATAGTGCCAGACAGGTTAGACTGATAACCTCCTATGCCAGTTATTCAATCAATAAAAGATTTTGAGTAAGACCTGCATTATACTTCTATTTGTAACAAGGAAAACTGCTCTGAAATATAATTTCTTTTGCAATTCGAAGGGAGCTGTCCAAGTTCAAGATGTATGTAAATCCCACCGACTTGAGGAGAGCCTCCATCAACATCCTTCTTGCCATGCTGCCGCTGCCGCATCACTTTGGCAACATCAAGTCGGAGGTAAGTGCTTTCGTGTCTCCTTTCAGCGCTTTTCAAAGCAGTTTTGCTTCCAAAGCTTGAGGACAAAATAATCTGCCGGAAGTTACTCACACCACTGCCATTAGGCTGCACAAACCATAAAACGCTTATGCAAAACGCATGAGCGTTTTCTTTGAAATGACCTTTCCCAACATGTTAAAGATGCACATTCATTCAGAAACTTTGAATCAACACTAAAAACCCATCCTCCTCAAAAACTAAAGCCTAAAGCCGTCTTTAAATGACAGTTGGAGATGCTGGTCAAAAAGCGAAGAAGAAGAAGTGTTTCTTTGGCACAAGTATTTGCTGTAATGTTTGATAATGGTGATTAGTTGGTCATGTAATAGTTTTACAGCCTAAGATCTGATTTTTGTGTGCTGTAGGTGCTTTTGGAGGGGAAGTTCAACGAGGAGGATGGGTGGCCCCACGACCAACCTGTGTCTTTCTTATCCCTGAGGCTTCGCCTTGTCAATGTCCTCATAGGAGCGCTGCAGACGGAGACTGACCCCACCAACACGCAGCTCATCCTAGGTGCGTGCTGACATCCTCAAACACTTTTTACCTGATTATTTTTGCATGTCAGTAACACATTTTCCTTTCTTTCCCATTTTAGGTGCAATGCTAAATATTGTTCAAGACTCGGCCTTGTTGGAGTCCATAGGTGCACAAACAGAAACGGTAAGGCTCAGATGGCCCCTGTTTATGTGTAAACAATTCAGATTCCATACAGTTGGATGCGGCCTGGACTAGAGGATTGCTGTGGTTCTTGTGGGTGCAGGGCAGTATAGATGGGAGCCACGTGACGCTGAGGAGTCACAGCCACAGTCGCACCAACAGTGGCATCAGCTTCACCAGCGGAGGCAGCACAGAGGCCACCAGTCCGGACTCTGAGCGTCCGGCTCAGGCTTTGCTCCGAGACTATGGTGAGACGCCCAGCCGCTCAACTAACGCCCACATCCCTGTAATTGGGGAATTGGCACAATCGTGCAGCTCTAGCCAGGTCATGCCGTCTTACAGCAGGATTATGAAAAGTGTTGACTGCCTGCCTGCTAATCTACACAAAGCATGAAGCTTAATAACTTGTTTGTTCTTCATAGCTAACGTGGTTAAAGTGGTTTGCAGAGTTAAGAAGCGCTGGGTAAAATGTCTTTGTAGGTGATGCATCTGTTTGCTGTGCTGCTGTTTAACAACAGCTCTGTTTGTTAGACTCTTTCGGCAGTCTGTTCCGTTGCAGGGCTGAGTGATGTCTGTCACTGTCACACAGTGACTTCAGTAGGCTTTTTGTACTTTTTGGCGCTGCCTTCTGTATAGCTGATCACATGGAGCACTTGTTTAGCAAATCATGAGCACTCACTTCTAACAGTATGATTGCTATTTTTTATGTAAATTCATAATCCTGTAATGTTAAGTCATTCTAAATCTACCACTGTTTTTAAAACTAAGTTAAGCTGATCATATGGGATAACTACATCTTACAACATGTATTTATTTCTGACAGAATTATGTTGTCAACATCGCTCAGTCCTAATAATGCGTGCTGTGTCGTTCTTTCCTGTTGCATGTTCTCAGTGTCAATAATGATTTTATGAATGGGAATCCAGAACATTCATGCTGTGCAACTTTCTTGCTTTCTTTCCTAAATCCTGCCCTGCTCTGTTCTTTTGCGGTGTTTGGTATTTCGGGGTGTTATATGGTTTAGTTCTTGCAGATACTGCTGCTGGCCTGCTGGTGCGCAGCATCCACCTGGTCACACAAAGGCTCAACTCCCAGTGGAGGCAAGACATGAGCATTTCACTGGCTGCCCTGGAGCTGTTAGCTGGGCTTGCGAAGGTAAAGTAAACATGCCGAAGTCTGCACATTAACTTAGGTGTTAAGTCATTTACTAGGTGTTCCTGTGTCTTGATCAGGTCAAGGTGGGAGTAGATTCTGCAGACCGTAAGCGAGCTGTCAGCTCCATCTGTGGCTACATTGTGTACCAGTGTAGCCGTCCAGCTCCTTTACAATCCAGGGACCTGCACTCGATGATTGTAGCTGCCTTTCAGTTTCTCTGCGTGTGGCTCACAGAGCACCCTGACATGTTGGATGAGAAGGCGAGTTTCTCTTTGCTCGATTTATTTTTTACACTTTAGAAGATTAGGACTTTAGTGATTATAATTGATTGTTTTTATTCTCTTTATTAGGATTGTTTGGTAGAAGTGCTGGAGATAGTGGAACTTGGCATCTCTGGCAGCAAATCCCGCCAGGAACAGGAAGTTCGTCATAAATCTGAGAAGGAGCACAATCCAGCTTCAATGAGGGTGAAAGACGCTGCCGAGGCGACTCTGTCCTGGTGAGCTTCTTCATGGCGTATGGAATGGGTTTTTGATGATAGGTTTTAGCCTTTAAAGTGCTGCATCACTGTTCTCTGATCCGGTCAAAAATGTGTTCCTGTGTTTGACCCACATTCTTCTATTTGTATTCTTGCTTGTGTTCTCGTGGTACTCCCTCAGTATCATGCAGGTGTTGGGGGCCTTCCCCTCTCCCAGTGGGCCTGCCTCCACCTGCAGCCTGCTGAATGAGGACACCCTGATCCGCTATGCCAGACTCAGTGCTACAAGGGCCAGTAATTTCCGCTACTTTGTCCTTGACAACTCTGTCATCCTTGCAATGCTGGAGCAACCTCTTGGCAACGAGCAGAGTGAGTGGCTTTCCATCCACCCAGGGACCTAATACCGTGTGTGCTGCCTGATATGTAAAATCCTCTGCCAGTTAGCCTTCTGATTTCTTGGTAAATGACAGCCCATCTGATCTGACAGATCCTAGCCCATCAGTCACAGTTTTGATCAGAGGCACAGCTGGGAGACATGCCTGGACCATGCAGCTCTTCCATCAACCCAGAGGAGCTCGGGCCAACCAGAGGGTGAGCGATAATGACACTGTCACACGACTCCAGAAATTCTGGCTGAGCAAAATGTCTTTTATCAGCTCATCAGATGTCACAGCTTTGCTCTATATCTGCCTGCTTGTCTCCTGCCACCACAGATGTTCGTTCCAGAGGGCCGTCCCGCACCCAACAATGACGTGGGCATCAGATATAATGTCAAGCAAAGACCCTTCCCCGAGGAGGTGGATAAGATCCCTCTGGTGAAAGCTGATGTCAGTATTCCTGACCTGGATGACATTGTCAGTAAGGAGGTAAGAAAACGAGAGCTCGGTGAACGTTTTGATCACTAATTATATAGTGATATGATATTCCCGTAGGATGAGATCGACCTGGGCTGTTTTGATGTTGGGGCTGAAATAGAGCCTTATAGTCAAGCTTTATTGGTCTTTTTTTGTTACTGTACGAACCCAGGTGTGTTGTATGGGCTGGCAGGATGATTCAAGAGCTACAAGCTTACTGATGAGTAAATACCACCATGTGAGTTTTTCTCATTTGGAGAAATGAAGTTTCACTTGGGTTTTTCAGGGATTTTTTTGTTCGGGTTTTTTTTTTGTTTGTTTTCAATGAATCATCTGGTTTGGTCATGATCGTTTTGGGCATTGATGGTACAAGTTGTATGTTTTCTTTTTAGCTATGTGAGGTGGCGTTTGTGTGGGCCAGGGCACTTGCATTGCGAGTGGGGGGGCTACTGCTGCATTTGGGCAGACTGATATTCATAAGACACGTTCTATCCCTGTTTTAAAATCCTTTCGCCTCCTCCTTTTCAGCTGGAAATCCAGCACGACAAGCTTCGTGTTCTAATAACCAAGCAGATCGACTATGAGAATGCCTTGGAGCGACACAGCGATGAAATCTGGAAGTCTAAGCCTTTCCCAGACCCACGGACAGACTGCAAACCCCCGCCACCCTCCCAGGAGTTCCAGACAGCACGCCTCTTCCTATCCCACTTCGGGTTTCTGTCTCTGGAGGCACTTAAGGTTGATCAAATGTTTTTTTGTCTTTGTCAGAATATCTCTTTCTGTCACGTTTGACAATTGGATTTTTTCCTGTAAAATGTCAATAATGATCTGTGGCACACATAGGAACCTAACAACAGCCGTCTACCTCCTCATCTGATTGGCCTGGACTCGTCCTTGCCAGGATTTTTTGACGACATCAGCTACCTGGACCTGCTTCCCTGCAGGCCCTTTGACACCGTCTTTATTTTCTATGTGCGGGCGGGACAGAAAAGCAGCCCTGAGGTGAGGGAATAAATCCTGAGTGCGTAGATCAAATGCAGATGTGGGATCGATAGAATTATTGGAGTTTTGGAATCTTAGTAAATTTGTGAGTCCGTGCTTTTCTTTAATTACAGAAAGATTCCTGTGAATTTGAGTTTAGAATGAACAACCTTTTTATTGCTTCTCCTTTTTCTTTATTTCGATCAAAACCTTTGAAAAATCTAATTGATCTCTCAGATCTTGAGGAATGTGGAGTCCTCAGCCAGCGTCCAGCCCCACTTTTTGGAGTTCCTCCTGTCCCTGGGTTGGCCTGTGGACGTTGGGCGCCACCCAGGCTGGACAGGACACTTGGATACCAGCTGGTCCCTGAATTCCTGCTCTGACAACAGTGATCTGCAACAAGGAGGTAAACTACCAAAGCAACCATTGTATATTGGGATGGTTTGGATTGATTCATCCTATAATAAGTGTTGTTTTTATCTGCCTGATATCATTGATAATGTAACTAAGCCATGGTTTTTACGCCCTTTATGTAGAGGAACTGGCCTCTCCCGACGACACGGGTGGTTCCGTTTTCAATGGAGAGAAGAAAGTTTTGTACTACGCCGATGCTCTGACTGAGATTGCCTTCGTCGTTCCGTCTCTTATGGAAAATTCTGGTCCGTAATCACCCGATCAACAGCTGATTTCCAGATATCTGATGCTCAGTGTGGCAGAATGCATTCACATAAGGATTTTTTTTTTTTTTTTTCAGAGGAGTCATCGGTGCACAGCGACTCCACAGTGGAGGCAGACACCAACACAGACCTCATGCCTGGTATGCTTAAACAACCCAATCTTACACTGGAACTGTTCCCCAGCCACTCCGAGAACATGGAGTCTGCCAAAAAGGTGAAGCTCTGCCTGTTTGAACCGATTACCGTTGTAAATTTGGCGTTTGCTTAAAAGACTGACACGCCCTGTTATGGCAGCTGAGTCCCTTGGTGAAGACGAAGAGGTCGTCGACAGGAAAATCTTACCCCCAACTGGGCCCCGAGACGAAGGTGTTTGTGGTTTGGGTGGAACGCTTCGACGATATCGGTAAGCGTGAAACTTCACAATTTACTTCACAATTTGCTTTTAGCCAGCAGGACTTCACCAAGAAAAATCATTTTGCCATTCTACGATTTGATCACACACGCCCTTGTTTTGGTGTTGCAGAGAACTTCCCCTTGTCTGATCTCTTGGCGGAAACCAGCACTGGTTTGGAGGCTAGCATGAGCAACAGCACTTCCTGCAGGTATTGAGGAGTTATCTTTCGCAGCTCTTCGTCAACAGCATAAAGAGCTTGTGCCGCGGTTGTGGTCAGGTGCACAGAGGGGGAGAAAAACAGCGCTAAACTCAGTGTGCCGTGTAAACAGGAAGTCTATACACAGTGTGTGCAAAAAGGGGAAGAGAGGTACAAGTGACAATTGTTCTCTAAAAAATTGTTTTTTGAAAAAGAGGATTTTCGTTTTATGCCATCTTCCATATGTTCTGCCCTGAAATTCTCTGATTAAGAGCAGTTAGTTTATGTCGCTGCCAGAAGAACTGTGGATGTTTAATTTACACTTATTTTACCCAATAGGACCCAGTTCAAATTAGAGTTCCAAGCATCCTCAGTTTTATGAAAGATAATGAGCACTGCTCATTATCTTTCATAAAACAATGCTCTTAATGGTAAACAGATATTTTTGTGAAATTGGAACAAACGCAGAGTCTCCAAGACGACGAGTAAATGCTAAAAACAGAAGAGTGGCTGTGACATTGTCTCTGTCTGTGCAGATGACTCATATTTAGGTTTGACACTCTGTCATTATCCGTTGAAACTTGAATCATAAAGTTGGCTCACGGGTGTCTCCCCCCCGTCTCATCCCCGCTGCAGGTCGGGGTTACTAGAAAAGGACGTGCCTCTGATCTTCATCCACCCTCTGAAGACGGGACTGTTCCGGATCCGGCTGCATGGAGCTACGGGCAAGTTCGGCATGGTGATTCCCCTGGTGGACGGGATGGTGGTCAGCCGCAGAGCTTTAGGTAACGTCTCAAATCGGCTCTTTAACTCCTTCTCGCCACAATCCTTTCTTAGCTTTTTACTCAGACCTATCAGTCAGCCAATCAGTTGGTCATTGTTGGTGTGAGTGATGTAAGTCGTACATTTATTTTTGCCTCCCAGGGTTCCTCGTGCGTCAAACCGTCATCAACCTGTGCCGAAGGAAGCGGCTGGAAAGTGAATTGTACAACCCTCCTCATGTGAGGCGGAAACAGAAAATAACCGATATCGTCCAGCGATACCGCAACAAGCAACTGGAGCCTGAGTTTTACACCTCGCTCTTCCACGAGGTGGGGGAAGGAAAGCCTCACCTCTAACCCCCCACCCCGCGTCCTGTCCTAACACTGGCTCACAAGCGCACGCACACACACACACACTCTTATTCTCTACATATATACCATTTACAACTGTGCTTGCACACTCATACCCACACAGAATCTTTATATTTATACTGTACTATTTTGTTATTTATATGAATACATTATATCAACACTGTTTGCCTTTGACTCTGAGATCAAAGTGTCAAAAACCATGCCAAGGTGGGGTGGGGGGGGTGACTGCAGTTCTGTGTTGCAGCTGCTGACTGGAGATCTGAACAGTGACTGTCTCTCCTGGTTTAGGTTCACGCTTTGTGGACAAAGAGTTCCCGCTTGTCTTTAATGCAATACATTAGTGACACTGTTGGCCTTTCTGAACTTGTTAAGAAAAAGACTTTGTTCTTTAAACCCTGTGAGGTTTGTCCAAAATCCAGATCTGCAAATCTGTTTTTGCTCTCAATCACAAAAAAAAACCCAGTACATTTGGACTTTTGCCAAGGACTTGAACACGTGAGCATCCTGCTAATATTGATGGCTTTAAAAGAAAAAGGAACAAACCCACAAAGGACCCGGCCGACGGCACACTGTGGCCCGCGCCCGGTCACCTGCTCATGCCTGCTGAAGTCTTCCTCCTGCAAACACGAATTTGACTGTGTCAGCGGTAGACTGAGCACACAGATATTTCAGATAAGCTCTAGGACTCGTGTGGTTTTGCCGAATGCGTGTGTCGTTTTTGACACCTTTTCTCTGTGCAAGGCCGTCCACCGCCACTACGCCGTGTGTGTGCGCGTGTGTGTGTGTGTACATAGACTTTTGTTTGCTTGGTCAGGCAGTCAGTTGACACTACAAGGATTCAAGGAGTCCTAAAAAAAACAAAAAAAACCCGCATGTGGCATTTAAACATGGAATTTTGTAACTTTAAGCAATGTCCTAATGTCTTCGGAGTCTCTCGGTCAACAAAACTTTTGTAGGTTTACCCTTCGAGTTTACTGATAGTGAGAGCGGTTACACAGCTCCTGGAGTTTGCACTTAAAGTTTGGAGGGCTAATTTAGGCTTGATGTCTGTGCCACTACCAAATGGAAACACAACCATAGCACAGTTTAAAGTGTCTTGTTCCTGAAAACTAAGTCGATGTGATGGATTCACAGGCCAAAATTGTGTAGCAAACGGCATCATGTGACCCTTTTATTTTGGCTCAGCGGAGCTGTAATTTCTTTTTTTCTTTTTTTTTTTAAACCTAGATCTGGAATATTTAACCCATCAGTTAGGTTTTGAGGAGAGGAATTTGCAGTTTTGCCTTCACAAATGTCTGTCTATCTTTATTTCTGCTTCACTAATGGTCTCACTATTGTTCATTCACTGTACTTTGGTTTTGACTCTCACTGTCTGCCTGTAACAATGTGAATTTATTTATCACAGATGTGGAGCAGGGCAAACACTTCAAAGTTTCTTTCTTCTATTGGAAAGTCTTAATGCACTGAGCACATTTTATGTTTGTTTGTTTTTAGTTTTTTGCTTTGGTTACTCTATATTACTTTTGTATTTTTGCGCGTTGTGGAAGAAATACCCTGCTGAAGGAAGAGTTTTATCTTGTGATATTTGAATGAAGAAGAGGCGTTGTGGAGTTTTTAACCTATCATGTCGACCTTTGACTCACTTTTTATGACAGTGCTGTATGCACATGCCTTTTTGGAAGGACAGTACATTAAATATGTTTCAAAGAAACCGAATACAATCAGTCACACATTGTATCCTGTTACTCTTCTGATGTTTGGTCATATTTAAGGACTCACCATGTACAGAAGTGGATGATATGTAAATATATGATAGTGTAAGACATTTACAAGGTGTTTGTTGCATTCCTCATTTGAGACAGAAAAAAAAAAAATGTATGTATGCAATTGTGTGTTGGAGGAACACGGTTGGTATTGAATGTAACATTTATCAATTAAAACTGATATGAACATTTTAATTTAGCCAGTTTCTAATAACTGATTTCTTCCTCATAGGATGGAAAAGAAGGCCTCAATTACTCATAAATACATAAAATAATTAAATGAATAAATATTATATAAATAAGTTGGTACAGGTAGTTGCTACAGTTGGTTCGAGCCAAAATGGTTTAGTCATAAATTTCCATGACTGCCGACAGCATGGATGCGCCCCACTGGCTCATCAGTGGTGTGGTAAGATCTGACAAGTGAAAAAACAACCTACTTGGTCTTTAAACTGTTTCAGATCGTAGTCCTGATATGAAAGTGAAAAATGGTGGATTTACTGGAGATATGATCTGGGACAAGAACAATTCCTAACCACATAAATCATTTGGGCATTTCTTTAGAAAGACATCAGCTCAGATTTTGGATCTCAATCCAATTTAATTTTTGTTGTGGAAATTTCAAAGAAAGTTTTCATGGCAAAGCTCCGTCCTACAAAGACGATCTGCAGACTGCAAACAAAACGGATAAACAAAACAACCTGCTGAGTTGATCTGTATTTGTTTTAGCCAACGGTTTTAGATCTTCCCACTGCTAGACACAAAGTCAAATGGTTTCCTGGCCTGACTGCAACAGTGAGCTTGTACTTCAGACACTCAACTGATCACCTGAGCCCATCTCACAGGCTGCACTTCCGCCTGGAGCCACCAGGGGTCGCCTTCTTCCTAAACTTGCCACACAGCTGTAGAGACTGTTGTGGAAATCAGGGGCCTAAAGGAAAGGTATTTACATATATTTGAAATATTTCAACTTTCTAGTAATGTTTCAAAGCTAGATTTAAACTTTTATCATAAAAATGAACACAAAACACAGATTTCTGACAAATTATTTGTTGTGTCTCACTGGCATAAAGATAAATGAGCTAAAAAGTTAACCTTTGAATTTTCACATACTGTTTTGTTTCCTTGTATGCTTTTGTTTGTTTGTTTTAGAGTTGCTAAACGGATCCTGATTTAATACAAACTTGTTTCCCTAAAACGAACTCAGATCTGAATACAAGTGGTGCTTTGCAGCATTGTGCATTATTACACGTGCAAACATTTTACGCATACAGCAGCTCATGTTTGCATGTTGTTGTTTTTATAAACAATGTGAGCAGGGTGAATTTACTCATGCCAGTACTTTTAGCTGGATTCCAGGGACTTTACGGCGTGTTTTCATTTCTACCGTGCTTCCACGGCTCTGGTGAGGATAAAAAAACAGAGATAAGGCTCAGATGTGGGGTGCAGTTGTTTGCTTGCGCTCAGAGCAGAAGTGAGCTGTGGGTTCCTCCTCCTTCACCACCACCTCCTCCTCCTCCTCCTCCTCTGCCGTCTCTCCTCTCTGCAGCCCTGCTCGCTCTCAGCTGGTGCTCGGACCACACCGCCGGGCTCTCCTGCTTGTTTTCCCTTTTTTTTGGTTGTTTTGGTCAACTTTGTCTCTTGTGTTTGCGCATCTCGGATTGGTGACATTCAGGAAACAAACAAACAAACAAACGCAAAAAAGGGACTCAGCTGCAAAATGGATTGAGCTAAACACCCAGCAAAAGTGAGTGGACTCTCAGGGACACGAGTACGCGTGTTTTCTTGTGAGCGCGACCCTTCTTTTTTTTTTGCGTGTGGAGACGCCACCATGGAGGAGGACGACGGGCATCCGGAGAACGGAGTCCACGCCGTGAAGGACTCGGACCGCCAGCAGCGGCTCAGACTCTGCGTGCTGAACGAGATCCTCAACACCGAAAGGGATTATGTCCGGACGTTGCTTTTTCTCCAGTCGGTAAGTTTTGACAACACGCCGGGAGAACGACGCGCCCTCTCTCTCTCTCTCTCTCCCACCCGGACGTTAACGCGCAACGCACCCCTCTGAGTCCCAAGTCTTTTTGACACCGGCTGGTCCGAGTCAGTAGATAATGCGTCTTTTTACGCACGGCAAACTGCTAACGGGTGTGTTTTGGGGTGACTTTGCCTCTGGAGTGTGTACTTTTTTAACTTCAGAGCTCGGTATAAACAAGAGTTTGACGCACGCGTTCTTATCCGGCTTTCTGCAGCCACAGACAGCTTCGGGGAGAAGGGCTACGGACACCTCTCTCCCCCTGGCCGAAACCTAACCCAAACTCGGCCAGATGTGATTTAGGAAACGTGGAACTCGTGCACGGAACGTGAACGCTCGGGGTTCACACCTCCTCGTTGTGCGTAAAGGCTTGGGTGTTTAAAATGCCGCAGGGGCGACATGGATCCGCGCAGGCTTTTTTTTTTGTGGGTGAATATTCATGAGCCCCGCCTCCCAGACGCGGATGGAGACGTTTCTTGTCGGTTCTGGTGCCGGGAGGCTGATGAACGCGCGTCCCGGCGATTCGACGCGCCTCCTTTCAGCCGTCAGAACCCAAAAAAAAGCGTGACCGGCCTCCCACGGTCCCACCTGCGAGTGACTATTCAATTACTCACTTTCTCCTGTCATCTTTGTGTGCCCCCCCCCCAGCCTTGTCATTCCTGGGACTTGTTCAATGCAGGTGGCTCCTGCCTCCAGCTGTGACCCAGACCTGTGTGTGGTCAGCTCCATATTAGCCACATTCAAAAGCACAGCATAATGCAACTGCTTCCCCCCCCCTACACAGCATCGATTGCTGTTGGGAATTCCCTCTCTTGTTTCCCTCTCCTAAAAAAAAGAAAAAGAAGGTCATAGGTCATCTGCAAAACCTCCCCAACGAGCATGTAGAGCTTTTGGCTATTCTCTGACTTGCTTTGGCGCCCTGCGGAGCTGAAGCCAAACAGTGAATGTTATCATTCTTACCTGTGATAAGAGGCTGTTTCTTATTAACATTCTCCTGATTCTTTGAATTTTCCTGTTTTTTTTTTTCTCTCGTAGCAGTTTATTGAAGCTGGCGTCGGTTCCCTCTTTCCTCTGTGCTGTCACATGTTAAGGAACTTCCCCAAATTTTCATGGAAAATATGACATTTCTCTGCACTAACGGCTCACAGCTGCATATCTTCTCAACATTATGCCCACATCAAGGCCGTAGGATTTATCAGAAGAGTCTGGGAGCTTATTATTGTGGGCATCAGAAAGATGTTTGTGGCTTTAAACTTAAACTCAGCTCCCCCCTAATGTCACAAAAACTGGTCTCTTTTTAACAGTATATGTGGGTATGCTATGCTATGCAAAGTGACCAGTTGCTTTTCCCCGTTTACAGGTGTCTGTATGTTGGAACGCACATAAGAAACCACATTTTCTTCTTTTAATAAATGTGGCTTCCATTAACACTCCTCCTGGGGTGTGTTTTGACACTGTGGCTTAAACTGGTTAAGTAGTACACGGACAGTCAAAGCAAAAAATATGAAGGGGGTAAAAAAAAAGAAGAAAAACCCATCACACCCCGCATCCAAAGCTGCCAATCCTTTACAAATCCCCCCCCCCC